GATAGATATCGATAGATAGATATAGATATAGATAGATATATTTATTTATATATAAAATCGTATTTTTTTTTCCCAGATTATATTTCTAATAAATTTGACAACTTCATGAAACAATGGGCCTGATTTACTGAAAGTTTGTGGATGCGAAAATGGGCGCAAACTTCATTGCACATGAAAACAGAAGTGGAAGCAAATCGACTAATGGCGCGCACCGAGGAAAATGTCTGCCAAATGGCCAAAATAGTCACACAATCCAGTTTGCGTTTTTCTACACGAACACGCAAAATACTGTTAATAGGTGCAAATAGATTACTTTAAGCACGTGCAATGTGATTCATCAAACCTGAGACAAGTTGTGGTGGCTAATTTTACATCTTTCAATACCATGTCTGAAAGGGAGGTGGAAACCGGCACCATTGTGCATAACAACGACTGCGATTATTGTGGCGCAGGCAAGATGGGAGACAACGGGGAGAATGGCTCATTTTTTTTTTTTTTACTCGTGTAAACATTTTTGAAGTGACAGAAACAAAAACTGACTCAGCATAGTGTCCATTCAGCAATGACATTTTTTTTTAGCTTCTGAGTTATCCTGTCACAAGAAGGAGTCATGCCAAATCAACTATGACAAAACTCCTTTCAGCTTTACGGTCTCTAGTGTTGGGGTTGTTTCACCACACTGTGATAATTATTGCTGGCTTCCCTCAGAGCAGTTTTTTGGGGGGATGCTGTCTCAAGTTTTTCATGCAATGGTGCTCACGATGGATAGATACACCCAAACCCAAGTTTTATTTATTTATTTAGACTGCACTCATGTGCAACATGTTTGCACCTCAGACTGGGACTTTATCCTGCAGACCCCACTCATAAGATCACATATTCTTTGAGTGTGCGTGATTCAAAAATGGTCATAATCCAGGGTTAGTATGCTCCTTCCACTAATGCTTCCAATTCCATCAGTTCAAACTCCAATTTGGATCTGAGGTACTGTCCCACATTTTCGATGATGAGAACTATAGGCGCTACCAAAAGCACAAAACACTCATTCAAATCAGGCAGTCTCAACCACCTCTATATAGTTTTAACCAATCGGGCCACAATCTTTGGAGATAACGTGCAACGCAGCCTCCAACAGTGTCAAGCAATTTGGGTCTTAGTAAATCCGGCCCAGTGAGTCGTGAATTCTATGACTTGCAAGATGATATCACGTTGAGACAGCTCATGGCCTCATAAATGATCAACGAAGAAAGCTTCCAGACAATTCACAGATGTTGTTTACGTACAATATTGCGTGCAGAGAAGTTGCGTATGGGGTCCTCGGCGGCCAAAGACACAGAACTGAGCATGATGAAGACCAGAATGAGGTTGGTGAAGATTTGATGGTTGATCAGCCTATGGCAGAACACGCGAAACCTGCAACATTTCAGAGAGGACATGTTGCAAGGAAACTAATTAATTATTGAAAAATGCAATCATCGTATAATGCAGTGTTTTGTGCCGCGGGAAAATATCCAATTTGTATCGCCCAGAAAGTAATCGTGTAGTACCGTCCCATACCGCTAGGGAGCAGCAACAGCTAGCTAATTGCCTTGTGTTTCGACGAGAGACAAGCGAATTTGTGCGGCATGAATGCAGGACGACAGTGAAACAATAAATATGAAAGATTATAAAATACTTTTTTCTTTGTGTTCATTTGATTCCAATTCAAGCTGTTATAACGTCATTCTTCAATGTTAAAAATGGTTATAGTAACAATATAACATGTTAATTGTTAAAATAAGCGTTTTTTTTTTTCACATTTTCAGCTTGTGGTGTGCCGCGAGATTTTTTCAATGAAAGAAGTGTGCCTTAGCTCAAAAAAACTTGAAAAACACTGGTATAATATGACATGACCTCCAGCTAACAATTAAACTAAAAAAAAAATAAAAAAAAAATGTCAGACACACTGTGTAAATATCCGCAGGGCTGGGTGCAAAACGTATATGTAACCCAAGGCAGATGACTTTTCCAATTGCTATTTGGAGTCAGGACCGAGCCAACCAAGAGTCCAATGGATGTGAGGGGATCTGCTGAGTACTGCCAAGCAGCAAAATCAGCAATTCCTCAATTGGTTACAGTTAGATCTGCAACTCCACCCCAAAAAAATTAATTGAGACGAACATAAAATTGATCAAAATTCTACTTACGGGTTGGTGCTGCTGAAGATGAAAAAGGCGCTGCCCTCAGGGATGGGAGGAGTTTTTTCCTTGATGGTGAGCACTGACAGCCTCTTAGGCCGGGGCCCAACTGGGACTTCTGGGAGGTCGTTGTTGTCGTCATCCACACAACACACTAGAAACAGAATAACAGAACAACACGGCGATTGCATTTCAATTTCCCTGAAAGAAGTTATATTCAGCTTCCCTTAGGTGAATGTAAAATGTGTGCCATTAATCGACATGGGATTTGTATGCTCCCCGTGATCCTGGACAGGATAAGCGGTATAGAAAATGGATGGGTGAATTTTTATCCTTTCTTCCACGGGCATTGCAGCGAGCGTGACGCTTCAGTCGAAGAACCCGAAAGAGGTCCTTTCAGTTGCAACTCTCATTTGTCCTTGATGACATTTGTCACATTCCCAAAACATGCTGTAAAAACTCATAGATTCATATTTTTTGAGGAGAGTGGTTAGCCTGGAGGCGTCAAAATTTAGGCTCGAGGGGGCAGATCAGCACATCATTTTATGAGGCCCGCGACAACATTCTTATCTCTATTTGATTATGAGATTCATTTTATTTCTCATGAGATAAAAATAATTTGGAATTCCCGTGACTCAAAAGTCCATGACTGTGGACTCCTCGGATTTCACTTGACATGACAATCAGTTTACCTGGTGAGTCAATGGCAGAATAAAGTTCTTTGTCCTCCCCCAGCAGGAGCTCGACTGGCACCTACATACAAGGTCAGAGGTTAAAAAAAAAAAAAAAAAACAGCAGAACACTGATGTAAAGTCGTGAACGTGTTTCTGTACCTTTGTCTCGCCATCAGTGTCTTGTACTATTTCTACTCGGTGTTCTGTAGCCGCCTCTCTATTTTGGAGTGATTAAAAATGAGCTGTTAGCCAGAAGCACGTTGGATAATTTGAGAGGAAGCAAAAAAAAAAAAAAAAAAAAAAGAAATACTTGGCACTGTTCCTCCTCTTCTTGGCCTCTTCTTCTTCCTTCTGGGCCGTGTTGAGGCTCTCAGCATCGGCGAGGTTGTCGACAGCAATGGCCAAGAACACATTCAGGAGAATATCTTGTCATGTGGCTTAAGGGAAAAACCCTGGTCACGTGGCAAAAAGAGAATGACCAAAAAAAAAAAAAAAACCTACACACAAATGGTATCATTTTGTGGTATGCAGGATACAGTTTCCACAGATGAAGAGGATGATGAAATAAATGCAGACCACCATTCCAGATGACGCTGGACCGCCATACGCCATGATCCCATCGTACATCACCGTATTCCAGTCTTCTCCTGTCAGAATCTGGGTAACACAGGAGCAAAATGGTACACAAAACAAAAATTAAACGTAATGTTTGTCCAACTCTAACCTATATTTCTTTGTTATAAATGCATGCTTGGATGAGTTTGGTTCAGAAGAACACCTTTAGGATGAACTAGAACAGAGATTGGAGCGGGCCTTCTCTCAGTTTCAAAATATGGGAACCACCTACCTGGAAGACAGTGAGTAGGGCCTGAGGAAAGTTGTCGAATGTGCTCCGTTTGGTGACCGTCTCGTCAAAGTTAAACTTGCCACCGAAAAGCTGCATACCCAGCAGGGAGAAGATGATGATGAAGAGGAAGAGAAGCAGTAACAGGGAGGCAATGGACTTCATGGAGTTGAGCAGAGAGGCCACCAAATTACTCAGTGATGCCCAGTGGCTGAAGAAAATGAAAGAGATTTTTTTTTATACTTCTTTTGGTTAGGGTGAAGACATTATTTTTGCAGAGGACCAGTTTGCACTATGTGCTGCTTACCGTGTGACCTTAAAGATCCTCAGGAGACGGACGCAGCGGAAAACAGAGATGCCAAGCGGAGACATGATGGCCAGCTCCACTAGGATAGTCTCGATGATACCTCCGCACACCACAAAACAATCAAAGCGATTGAACAGCGACACAAAGTAGGCCTGCAGCCCCAAACTGTACATCTTCACCAGCATCTCCAAAGTAAACATGGCCAGGAGAACCTTGTTAGCGACATCTGAGGAAAAAAAAAAAAAAGCCAGCAGTGAAATCAAGTTCATTTAGAAACAAATAGTTCCAGTATGTACAACACTGACAATGAGCTTAATGATTGAGCTCACATTTTTTTTTTGTACGTTACAAACACCTTTAGGGACAGCAGGCTAACCCCGTCCAATTCCATTTGTGACAAAGTCGGTGTCTTGATGCAAGTAGTAATGTTTTGTTCAATAATGCTTTTAAATGCTGCAGCCAGAGCCGATTTATCAAACATAATTTGATGTTTAACTTGATATAGTTGTTTGTGGCTAGAATGGAGCTGAGGACTGTGATAGGTTTTATTTTTTTTTTCTTTGTTAACCTCTAAATCCAAATATTAATACTAGCTGGCATCCCACTGCTCGACTGGGGCATTATGGGCCATGGTGTCACACAAGATCAGCATGTCGCGGTGCAAGCTGCAAAGACTTGGAAGGAAAGAAACTAAACAACGAGAATCGTGTCTGCTTTTCGACCTGAAAGTGACCGTTCTCTGCCACTACTTCTGTGGATGATGGCCCGATAATGAGTGCCCAGAAAGTGGTACAAATCTTCATTTTGTCAATGAAAACAGACACACACACACACACACACACACACACACGCACGCACGCACGCACACACACACACACACACACACACACACACACACACACACACACACACACACAAACAACCTTTATTGAAATGGAAACCTTCGTGAGAAGAGATGGAAAGATACAAGGGAAGAAACTGAGCTTACCCTGAACTTCGGTGAGCCAGTCCGGTTGGTTATAGTGCTCTGAGGCGATGGTAAGAGTATTGAGGAACACCAAAATGATGACCAGCCAGTAAAACGTCACAGATTTCACTGCGGCACGACACTTCCTGCGACAGAAACGATTCCACCGTCGCCCCTGACGACTTGGAAAAAACAACAACAACAACAACGTGTCACACGGTAGCAATATCCATCCGTTTTTATATTGTCTATCCTATACAGGGTCACATCATTGGGTGAAGGGCGGACTCGCCACTCGCAAGTCAATCATGGTGCCTAGATAAAACAAAACAACCATTCACACTCACGCCATCACTGAGTAGTCTTAGAACCACACTGTTTGTTAGGAAGTCAGGTCAGTGTACCACTACACCATCAGTGACCCACATTAGGATTGAATGAAACATAACAAATGCAAAATGGACATATCAAAGATATCAGACAAATGATGCATTCATGAACAATTGAATCGCAGTTATTTAAGGAATGGACAATGTTAGGGATTGGAACAATATACGGTAGTTAAGTAAATCAATGCATGCAGGATGAATTGAATCCACTCGGATGATGCACATACCTACTGGGTGATGTCACATCACGGTACTAACCTGCACTTTGACTTAGTAATTTTTTTACTGAGAAGAAGAGAAAATGGAACTTTTTTTACAAAACTGTTTTGAAACTGTAAATACTGTAGGTAACGTGATCGGGGAGGTAAAGAATGGCATATGACGCTCACCACAAAGGAGCACAGCAGAGCCATTTGTCATCCTCGCTGTGATTGTCGGTGTTGACAGATTCGGTCTCGCTTGTCGGCACGCTCGCTGTTGAATCACACACAAAAGCAGACACATGAAAACAGATACAGTGACAAAATAAAACAAGCAATTCCTGCGTCCTGTGATCACTCAAGTAAAAAGAGAGTTTCTTGTTGACAACCATGGCTTTTATCTTATTTCAGGATGCAGTATATCACATTATATAGAGTCTATGTAAGACACCTTGGTCTAGGTTACGAGAGACGTTAAATCAGTTGTCCAATAAAGTGACAGTGAAGTGAAAAAGTATTTTGATTAATGGTGATAATGGGATAAGAAATGAGCACATACAGATCTATGTTGTGGAAAATGTAGCTCTCATAAAATCACGTCAAAAACTTAAAAAAACTACAAAAAACATGTTTCTACAAATGTTCCTCATCAAAAATACAAAGATTTTGTTTTAGGTTTTGGCGATACAAATGATAAGAAAAAATATATAGTTTTTTTCGGCACACACACACACACACACACACACACACACACACACACACACACACACACATATATACGGTATATATATATATATATGTGACAAAATAGTGATGTAATATGTTTAAAATTCATATTCATATTTTGTATGTTACAAAATAAGCATGAGATGAATGAAAGACTTATATGAGGTTATAAGTACATACAAAAAGCTTTGATTGTCTAAATATACAGGAGAATCTCAGATGTGGAACACAATCCATTCCAGGATGCTGGTTGACTTCCAACTTGAATTCGGATATATAAAAAAAAAATGGGAGGGGACAAGCAAACGATTGGGGGTGGAGTCAGTCTCTCAGCGCTCACTTGATTGTGCAAATATTTTGGATTCCATGTGTCCCCGCTTCATCGATGACTGCGGCCCACCATGTCGAGATTGAAGTCCATTTTTTAAATAACAAAGCCTGTCATCGTCAGTTATAATTATTTCAGGCTGGTCCAGTTTGACACTTTGTCATTGTTATTTTTGACACTCTTCCTTCATTGCTAAATTCCATTTTGTCACCACATTTTTATAAATGTCAGCAAAAAAAAATCTTGAAAGGGTAATAGCAGACAATTTTATTCATTTAGAAACAGTTTGAACCACTTTACACAAAATTCTCATGTTACTGCTCCTGCTTCTCATGCCCCTTGTCTTTTTTTGTAGGGGGTTCATGGTAGTCCAAGGGATGGCCAAAATCGCTTTTGTTGGCACTTATTCTGTCAATGTTTCAAAGTTTCCGTCAGTTGTCAGTCTGCCAGCTAAAACGGGAATCCATCAGTGACGGACTGATGGACATTCCGTCGGTACTGACGGACAGGTGTAAATGTCCACCTCTGCTAATCGTCATCAAAAAAGAGATAACTGGTAGCCGGCCATTGATTATGTTGAGTTTGTATAACACAAGTCATTTGGCACAATAAAAACAAGTAGAAGAGTTTGCAATGGCAAAATAGTTACCAGATAAACAGTTAGCCTAGCATCATATATTACGTCTGCTAGCCTACTATTCTTTCTTCTTCTTTTTATTGTCTGGATTACTGGCAGCAATTCAAATTTTAGAAAGTTGTGTAAAAAATGAGCAAAAGGACATGTTGAATGGGTGATGTGATGTGGAGGAGTGATTCCAAGCAAAACACGAAAGCATTCAGCAAAGCAAAGCAGGGGAAGTATGAGTTCTTGGACAAAGATGGTGTGCCCATCATGACAATGAGCATGAAAACACCATTTGGGACAAGCACACATTTACCCTGTGTCTCATTGGACTGCGTGAACCAGCCAAACTTTCCCTTCTTCTTCTCGGTGAGGTCCGCTAATGTGACCCCTTGGTGTTACCAACGTGCAGTTCACATAGCCGGACAGCAGAGGAAGCAGTGTGTCAGTTGACAGCAGTAGAACAAACACAAGCAATCGTAGTAATTGAGACCAGAAACCATGTTCATTATTTGGCCAAGAAAATGACTGCATTGTTTATACGTTATACATTGCCTCAATTATTAGCCTACTTGCTAACAGATGTAGCGTCTCTAAAGTGGGTTCTGGATTCATCTGGTGTGGAAATAGTTGGAAACAGTGTCAACCTACAATGTCAGAAGGCAAACACATAGCTGGAATAGAGAAGCCTAAAACAGTAAATTGTCTTGGCTGACGACGCAAGTGAAGAAGCAGAGGTTAAAGCAAAACAGACATGAAGAGCACTGAACAGACCTGTCTGCACCGACACAGAAAGACATTTGTGACTCACTATGAGTCAGGAAACAACAAAGTTGGTCTTCAACAACATTAAGTTTCCGATATGAACATTCCTGGCGATTAAATGCTGGTGATTGCGCCATGCAAGTGAAAAAAACCTGCAAGAACAAGCGGGCGGCCTGACCCATCATGCCCGTGGGCCGCTCTCCACCAGAAAAACATCCAATTGTGAACTGAGATGTGATTGGTCTGTCTGAGTTCAAGGATTTGTCGCAGGGAAAAGGGGAATTAAATTTAGGGAAAACTCACGGTTGCGCTTTGCCTCCTCATCTCCCTCCTCCTCGTTCTCAGGATCAATGTCTTCAGCCTGAGTGATCCAGTCCAGGTAACCCTTCAGGTCTTCCTCGAGCTGCTGCTTCTCACGCAGCTTCTGAAAGTCACCTCGTGCCTTGGCCTTCTCTCGCTCTTTGGAGAACTCTCTAGGCACAGCGAGAGCAAGAGAGGTCATCGTCGTCACAAGTCACCAAACTCGCATAAAATCCAAGAAAAGAAACCTACCCACTGAGGACACCCAAAACCAAGTTAAGAACAAAGAAAGAACCAAAGATGACCAGACTGACAAAGTAGACCCACGGCAGCTCAAAGCCCATTGCGTCGTTCATCTACAAACACACACAAACAGAAAAAGACAAAATAGGTTGAACGCCTATGAAGACATGATTTATTAGTCACCATTTTATTGAGGGCACTGTTATTACTTACATACTTACAGTACTGTATCGCAAACCAGCCTCATGTAATCCAAGACACAATCAACAGTCAAGTCCATACATTCCAAAGAATAACAATAAATTAATTCGTTCAAATAGTTGCCTATTTGAGACATCCAAAAGTGATAAAGTCAAATTTTTTCTTTCACTCTGTTTTATGAAGCCTTCCTAAAGGTGCATGTCGTTGGCATGGTAACACATGCATGGATGAAAGCAAGAGGCTGAAGAGGACAACGAGAAAGGAAGGCGTTCATCGATAAAATGGTGTTATGTGCATTGTGATGTGACTCACAAGAGCACAAAAAACAAAAAACAAAAAAAAAAAGCATTCACACTCATTTTAGCGCCTGTACACAAATTAGACTGAACTTAGCATGCATGTTTGTTTAAATGTGGGAGGAAGGTGGAGCACCTGCAGATAACCCAATCAACCGCGGGGAGAATTTGCAAACTCCACAGAGGATGGCCTGAGCTGAGGTTCAAACCCTTGAACCCATGAGGCAGATGTGCAAGCCTCCGTAGGTAATTTGTTGTTTTGTGTGTGTGTTATCTTACCCAGTAGAGTACGTCGGTCCAGCCCTCCATAGTAATACACTGGAACACGGTGAGCATGGCAAACAAGAAATTGTCAAAGTTGGTGATGCCATTGTTGGGACCTTGCCAGCCTTCTCTGCACACTGTCGTGTTGAGTGCGCAGTGGCGACCGTTGCCGGACACCGCACATGGTGTTGGCTCGTCTTCTGCCAGGGCACCTGAAGAAAACAAAAATAACACTGGTCAACAGCAAGTTTTAATAGCTTTTTGTGTGATTAAACATATTTTTTAACACTGAAAACTAGATTTGCGTCTCTGATTTTAAAAATTTGTGAGAAAGAAAAAAAATCACAGCTACAAACACTTCATAGTTTTGCATGAATTTAACATGCGTGTTTTTGGAACATAAGAGGAGGCCAGAGTAGCTGAAGAAAACCCATGCAAACTCTTCACAGGAAGCTTCGAGTTGCGTTTCAGTTGTCATACTTTGCCGTTAAATTTTTGCTCTGTTGTGTCTTCTTGGTCTCATTGTTTTCAGTGCAAACAAACGTAGTGTTTGTTTGCAGAGACAATAAATATTCATCACAGTTCAGAGAGAACAGAATGCAAAAAAAAAAAAAAATCCAAGAAAAAATAGATAAATCACTGAATTTTTCCACCTGTTACCCTTTTCCATGTGTTCAAATAATCCTGGCTCGCTTTTTTTCTGGTTCAGTCTGTTTTATCTCCCCTTTACTCTGAACCCTGCAACTGTGTACTGACGGACACAGCGGGGGCAGAGCAGCATGCTGCAGCTCGATCTGCACAGGGGACTCGCTTGTCCCAGCGGGAGAAGCAGGTGGCTGCATTACACCAGGGAGTCAAGGGTCTCGCCCACAGCCAGGAGGGCTTCGAGGCAACCATCGCAGCCCAGGTAGGGCAGCTTGCTTGGCAAGTGCAGCAGCTGCTCCTTCTCCTCAGGAGGCCAACCGCTGAAGTCGCAATGCCTCAGAACCAGCCCTCCAGATCACTCCATCTCATATGCTGGAGCTGGAGCCCGGCTAGCTTCCCCTGAGCGTTTTTTGTGAGACCCAGGACTGTGCCAGTAATCCAAGTCGTTGGTTCCTTGTTTGTCAAGTCCAAGTGAAGTCATCGTCAGGGGTCAGCCCGAGATGGGGGGGGGGGGCGTGCTGTGACTTGCCCTTCCTCTCCTGTGCCAAATTGTCAGCTCCGCCCCGATTGTTTTGACCTGTTATCAGTTTCCTTCTGTTCAAATAATCCGGTTTCCCTTTGTAATTCATGCCTTTGTCACATCTGCCGGATTACTGTAATGCACTTCACTTTGGAGTCAGCCAATCCTCCATTAAGCGTCTCCAGTTGGTCCAGAATGCTGCTGCTCACCTCTTGACTGGTACTCATAAGAAGGAGCACATAACTCCTACTCTGGCATCCCTTCACTGGATTCCTAAACATTTTAGAGTTCTTTTTAAGATTCTATTATTTGTTTTCAAATCTTTAAATGGCCTCGCTCCACCTGAGCTCTCTTAACTTCCCCACCCCTACACACCTGCCCGGCACCTCAGGTCTGCGGACCAGACATGATGAGAAGTACCAAGAACTAAGCGGAGGATCAGAGGGGATCGAGTCGTTTCCGTTACTGGTCCCTCTCTTTGGAAAGACCTCCCACTGAACATTCGTCAAGCCCCCTCGCTGACAAATCTTTCAAACTCGTCTCAAAACTCTTTTGTATTCTTTGACTTTTGACTCAGCATGACTCAGACTTGATCTTAGTTTTACTGTTTTGTGCTTTCTACTGTCTTCATTATTAATTTATTGTTTTATTGTTTATTGTTGTATGTATGATATTTGCTCCATGTACAGCACTTTGTATACAGCGGTGGGTGTTTTAAAGTGCTCTATAAATACAGCTGAGTTGAGTTGAGTTGTCTTGGTCCGGTGCGTTTCATCCTGGTGTGCGTACTCCAGCCCTTGCCATGTTTCCTCAGCCGCTGACCCTGAAATAAATCTCCCCTTTACTCTGAACCCAATTACTGTGTCCTGTATACAAACCCTGGTGTTGACAAGATACGACCATAGTGCATGACCAAGTAGCAAAAAATAAAAATACAAAAATTGTGTCTCACAAGAAAACCCATGTAAATATGAGAACACATGCAAACTACACAGAGACATGTTCCAGCATAGATTCGAACTCAGATTTGCTTACCATGAGTAAATCAGTATTTATATACTTTTTGTCTTCTATTTTCTCCCTTTCATAATTTTGCTGCTGTGAATTGGGAATTTCTCCATTGTGAGACTCACTTGTATTCTTTGGCATTTGACTCAGCATGACTTAGATTTGTTCTTGGTTTTGCTGTTCGGTGCTTTCTACCGTCTTTATTACCGATTTGCTTTATTGTTTGTTGTATATGTTAAATTGCTCCATGTACAGCACTTTGTATGCAGCGATGGCTGTTTGAAAGTGCTCTATAAATACAGTTGAGTTGAGTTGAGTTGAGTGAGACAAATAAAGGTTTTCTTATCGTATCTTATCTTATCTTAAAACTTATACAGTACCTATCTTTATCATTTGGAAGCAATGTTAGCCTAAGATTAAAATATGAGTGATATTACTCATCTCATCACTGAATGGAAGCCACCATCTGTCCTTTTAGCGTAATGCACTTACAGTATATGATATATGCAATATGTCCATTCAATCTGTGGAATTAAATCCTGTATGTATTCTGAACTAAACTAGACGGACCCAGACCATCCCCATTCTTTCATAACTATACCACACAAAAATGCAAAACTAATGTGTCCTCATTGAATAGCGAAAGGTCCTCACCTGTTTTTATCACATAGCAGGTAGCGTGCATTTTGCCAATGAAGAGCTCGAGGCCGATGATGGCGTAGATGATGATGACAAAGAGGACCAGTAGAGCGATGTGAAGCAAGGGGACCATGGCTTTAATGATTGAGTTCAGAACCACCTGCAGACCTGCAATCACACACTCAAAGTGAATGCATACGCAGACAGACATTGTCTACCGGATGCCGGAAAGATTTTTCTTCTCAGAGGTCAGAATGTCAGTGTTGCATTTTTTAAGAAACGGAACATTCATGGAAAATAAAGGTGACATTCTTTCAGTTCAATTCAGCTTCATCTTTCCTCCTCATGATATGTTGCTATGGATATACGAAATCAAACAAAGACCTCATGGAAGGAGTACCAAAAGCTGGCTTATTTTCTCTATTCATACGCATGAGCCTTGAGCGTGTCGAGGATCAATCCGAGTGACACATCCTGGGTTATTAGTGCATGGAATTATTAATTACAAGTGGCTAGGAAGTGATTCGCACATCTGCCACACAGTCGGGCCCATTTCAATTTCAATTGGAGCTTTCCTTTGTGGGTTTTGTATCATCTCTATGTGCATAAAATATATATATATATATCTA